AATAAATAAAACAAGATTTGCCTGAGCACTACATCCGAATTCTTAACCAAATTTGAAATAAAAATAAAATACCACAAACAAATACGAATAAAAAAAAAAAAAAAAAAAAAAAAAAAAAAAAAAAAAAGTCATCAAAAAAATCTCAAAAATAGATATGTTATGAAAAAAAAAAAAAAAAACAAGATTTGCCTGAGCATTACATCCGAATTCCTAACCAAATTTGAAATAAAAATAAAATACCACAAACAAATACTAATAATAAAAACAAATAAAAATAAAAAGATAATTAAATTTAATAAGTGTGCGAGCATGTTTTCGACACCGCTATCTTTGGCGATTTTTCCTTTTTTTTTGGCATAGTTAAATACCCTGGAAATTTAGAGATGTGTATTTCACATAATACAAAACCCACAAAAAAATTTTCAAAAAATAATAAAATTGTTTAGACCCCGAACTAAAGTGAAAACAAAAAGTAAAAAGTAAAAAAAACGTGGGCGAGCACGTTTTGACATTGCCATCTTTGGCGATTCTTAACTCTTATCTGGCTCATCCAAATAACTTAAAAATATAAAGGCATGTACCTCACGTCATAGAGAACTCACAAAAACAAATTTAGAAAAAAATATATATTTTTAGGCCCCGAAATATTTTTTCGCGGGGAGCGAACGCCGTCGGGTTCGGACCTCGTACGACACCCGTATATATATATATATATATATATACAGGGTCACCAGCCAGTACGTATGGAGGTTCCCGGGCAGACCTCCGTACGTACGGGCGTTCGGGGTCCCATACGGGGTCCGAACCCGACGGCGTTCGGCCTTCGCCAAAACTTATTTCGGGGCCTAGAAATAAATTGTTTTTCCTGAGTTTTTTTTCGACAGTTCTTTATGACGTGAGGTACATGCATGTAAATTTTCAAGTCATTTGGCTAAACTAAATAAGAATTAAAAATCGCCACAGGTGGTGGTGTCAAAACGTGCTCCCCCACGTATTTTTTCACTTTTTACTTTTTGTTTTCACTTTAGTTTGGGTTCTAAATAATTTTATTATTTTTTGAAACTTTTTTAGTGGGTTTTGCATTATGTGAAGTACACATCTGTACATTTTTAGGGCATTTAGCTATGTCAAAAAAAAAATGAAAAATCGCCAAAGATGGCGGTGTCGAAAACATGCTCACGCACTTACTAAATTTAATTCTCTTTTTATTTTTATTTATTTTTATTATTAGTATTTATTTTCTGTATTTTATTTTTATTTCAAATTTGGTAAGGACTTTGGATGTAATGCTCAGGCAAATCTTGTTTAAGTTATTTTTCTCCATAACATTTTTTTTTTCCAGATATTTTTGACGATTATTATTATTTATTATTATTTTTTTGAGGGGGGTCCGCGTTCAGCCCGAACGGCCGAACGCATCCCCTAGGGGTCCCATACGTTCGGGCGTTCGGGTTCGGGCGTTCGGCCCGTCTCGAACGTCGGTTACCCTGTATATAGATAGATAGATAGATAGATAGATAGATAGATAGATAGATAGATACACATATATATATATATATTATATATACATATATACAGTGTTGCCGGCGTTCGGGACGGGCCGAACACCCGAACCAGAACGCCCGAACGTTTGGGACCGGCCAAACGCGGAACCAAAAAAAAAAAAAAAAAAGTTTCCAAAACTTCTTGAAAAAAAAAATGTCATGCAGAAGAATAAACTAAACAACATTCGCCTCAACAGTATGTCCAAATTCCTTACCAAATTTGAAATAAAAATCAAATACGAAAAATAAATAATATTAATAGAAATAAGAAAAAATAAAACGAGAATGAAATTATTGCGTGGGCGAGCAAGTTTTTGACAATGCCATCTTTGGCGATTTTTTATTTTTTTTTGGCTCTCTCAAATGCCATGAAATTTTATATATATGTATTTTATATAATAAAAAACCTACAAATAAAGTTTAAAAAAATAATCATTTTTTACAGGCCTCGAAATAAAAGGAAAACAAAAAGTGAAAAGATAAAAAAAACAAATTAGTAAGTGGAAAAGCAAGTTTTGACACCACCATCTTTGCCGATTTTTCATTATTGTTTGGCTTCAAAGAATGACTTCTAAATTGGGAGACAGATATTTTACATAAGAGAGAACTCGCAAAAAAACAATCAGAAAAATATAATAAGTTTTAGGTATCAAAATATGTTTTTGCGGGGTTCGAACCCCTTCGAGTTCGGGCCCCGTACGGAGACCCGAACGCCCGAACGTTCGGGGGTCAGCTTAGGGGCCTCCGTACGTTCGGCCTGGCAACCCTATATACATATATACATATTTACTGAGTTGCCGACGTTTAGGACGGGCCGAACGCCCGAACCCGAACGCCCGAACGTTAGGGACCCCCTCTCGACATGTTCGGCCGTTCGACCGAACGCGGACCCAAAAAAAAAAAAAAAAAAAAAAAAAACTATGAAAACAATATATATTATGCATAAGAATAAACTAAACAACATTTGTCTCAACGTTATATCCAAATTCTTTACCAAATTAGAAATATAAATCAACTACTAAAAATAAATAATAATGATAAAAATTAGGGGAAAACAAACGAGAATGAAATTATTGAGTGAGCGAGCACATTTTTGACACCACCATCTTTGACGATTTTTCGTTTTTTTTTTGGCAATGACAAATGTCATGAAAATTTATATATCTGTAGCTTATATAATAGAGAATTTACAAATAAAATTTGAAAAAATAATAATTTTTTTCATGCCCTGAAATAAAGGGAAAATGAAAAGTCAGAAGTGAGAAAAAACAAATTAGCGAGTGGGCAAGTTCTGACACCACTATTTTTACCGATTTTTCATATTTTTTTGGCTAAAGAGAATGGCTTTAAAATTAACAGGGAGATACCTTACATCCCAGAAAACTTACACGAAACATTTCAGAAAAAACTAATAATATTTAGGTGTCAAAATATTTTTTTGCGGGGTCTGAACCCTTTCAGGTTCGGGCCCCGTATGGGGACCCGAACGCCCGAACGTTGGGGGTCATCTTAGGGGTCTCTGTACGTTTGGCCTGGCAACCCTTTATATATATATATATATCGTCACAAACAATATATATATATATATATATATATATATCGTCACAAACAATATATATATATATGTATAATATATATTTATATACAGGGTTACTAGACCGTACGTACGAAGGCCCCCCGACAGACCTCCGTACGTTCGGGCGTTCGAAGTCCCGTACGGGGTCCGAAACCCGACGGTATTCAGCGCCCGCCAAAACTTATTTCGGGGCCTAAAAATAATTTTTGTTTTCTGAATTTTTTTTTATGCGTTCTCTATGACAAGAGGTACATGTTTTCAAGTCATTTGGCTAATCCCAATAAGAATTAAAAATCGTCAACGATGGCGGTGTCAAAACGTGCTCGCCCACATTTTTTTTCACTTTTTACTTTTTGTTTTCACTTTAGTTCAGGGTCTAAACAATTTTATTATTTTTTGAAACTTTTTTAGTGGGTTTTGTATTATGTGAAGTACACATCTGTAAATTGTCAAGGCATTTAGCTATGCCAAAAATAAATAAAAAATCGCCAAAGATGGCGATGTCAAAAACATGCTTGTGCACTCATTAAATTTAATTCTCTTTTTATTTTTATAAAATTTTATTTATTTTTATGATTAGTATTTCTTCTGTGTTTTTGATTTTTATTTCAAATCTGGTAAGGAATTCTGACGTAATGCTCAGGCAAATCTTGTTTAATTTATTTTTCTCCATAATATTTTTTTTTCAAATTTTTTTGATGACTTTTTTTTTTTCTGTGGGGGGGGGGGGGTNAATCAATGAATATTTTTTTGTTTTCTATTTTTTGAATTATTTTTGCTACCTACCAACCCCCCCCCAAAAAAAAAATTAAATACATATATATATTTTTATGCAGCCATGTAGTCGCCGACGTGCGCCGGCCGCACGCGCACGCAGTTTTCCCGCCAACCCGCCAGCGTCCCCGCCGGGCTGTGGCATGGATCCGCGCAAACTCAGGCGCGCGGCCTTGACCCGTGGCCGAGGCCGCAGGATCCGCGGTCGACAGTGTCACGTAGCCGCAACGTCCCATTAGGTTTGACAAAGCAAAACCATTGAGACACATATGGCCCACTCGAATAATTGGTGGCATGCGTACGTATCTTGTCGTCGAGATAGTCCACCACCTTCTTCTCCTCGTCAGGGTTAGGATACCGTGCCCCTCTCAAATTCCACGGCTCATGTGGTACGTTATGGATCCGGATCATAAGAATCTTATCCTTGTCCAATCTCTCGCGCTGATCGTCATAAAAAGCATAGGAGTGGTACCTCTTCTTCATCAGCTCTATCATCATCACCCTTTCCTGGGGTAACCGAAAATCAGGCTCTCCCACTATGAGCTTCCCTTCGTTCCCTTCATTGATACGGCACGACTCAACTGCTGCTTGCTCCCTCATTCGCAGTCTCAATCCTCGTTCCCGCTCGTATTAAACCTCTTCATCTTTTGTGACGAGAACGGGAATTGGGCGACACTTGTTGTCTATAGTCTTGTACCGCCTTTGGGAACCCTGCTTGAGCCGTCCCCTAAAAAACGTCGGCTTGCCACTTGCGCCTGCATCATGGCAGGGTCCCTCCTTTCGCCCGGAAGCCGATAGACCAGCTCTACTTCCCAGTCTGGGGACATTCCAGAACTTGTTCCCTCAGTGCCTGAATGGCGTCTGGATCCACCATCTCATGCGTGGCCACTACATCCATGACCTTGTTTACATCAAATAGGCTGTGGGAAAACACCTCCTCCTGTGCCTCCTCTTCTGGTTCCTCATGGAGCCTCCGACGCTCGTCCTCAGAGTCTTCAATCTTGAATGAACCAGGGTTTGGCCGATTCCTTATACTTCGTGGGCCTGTGTTTTGGTAAGTAATTATCTCATAGTTTCCACACGTTGGGTCACACAAGATCAGGATCAAAGTTTCGTCGTGTTTGTTGAACATCAACGTCTTTGTCTTGCATAGGAACAACCTTCCTAGGAGGATGGCATGGTCCATGTCCGGCATGACGAAGAAGCAAGCTCTGGCCTTCGCCGTCCAATCTCAATAAGCACGTTTAATATTGTTCTGCAAAATACTACCTTGCAGTTGGCCCCGTGCAGAATGCCGCAATCCGAGCGGTCTATCTCCAACCCAAACCTGAGTGCATCAGCTCCCTTGATGATATTCATCTCCGCTCCTGTATCCACCATTGCTGCACACTTCGACCCCTTTACCACTAAATCCACCATTTCGTAGGCCACACACTTCCAGTCCATTTTTGTCCTTGTTTTCGCCCATTCCGCCTTCTTTGGCAGAATTACTCCTAGATAGACATTTGGCACCAACCGCCGTGAAAGCCTTCCCTTTGGCTCGTTACGGAGCTTAGGAGCACACGTCAGGATCTCCTTCAAGGTCACAAGGTCGTTATGACCTTCAAACAACCTATCAATCACATTTTCCACATCAAACCCTTCTTCCAACCGGACCGCATACTTCTTCTTCTTTGGCGTCGCATCACGCAAAATCGGTTCGGCTTCCTCCTGGACTCCCCTCTTCTTGGCCCTTTGCTCCACCCTTCGATCCTCCTCTTGACGCAGCCTATCATCCTGCTCTTCTTCATCATCGTCCTCCTCTACCTTTATGACCTTTTTCCTTCGGTCTGGCGCTGGCTCTCTCCGAGGGGGTTCTCGACTGGCACTTGCCTTACTCTGGCCCCTGGTTTGCGCTGGTTGCGCCATTCTCCCTTGCGAAGTAGGGGGCCTGGAGGTCATTCCGGACCGAGGGACCGACCCCACAGTGGCTACTTCAAGGTAACCTAGCCGTCTCAGTACTGACTCTGGGCCGGATTCGTAGAGGAAGACTTTGGGGATGTTGGCTCTCCACTCTTTCACTTCTTCACATATATTTATCAACTTCTGCTGGTATTTCCCCACTTTCTCCCACAAATCCTCCATCTTTCCCAGAAGAACTGACGTCGGCTCCACCTTCTCATCCTCGTTCTGTCCGTCCGACTCAATGACTATAGGCTCTTCTTTTATAACCCCCGCCTATAGCCTCTGAGTCACCTCTTCATTGCACTCCACCTCTTCCACCCTTATTGGTGGGTCGTCCCTTTCCGGCCACAGCCTAAACATGGCGGGTGGCGCTTGCCGTGAAACTATTCTTCTATGAGCTTCCGCCCTCACTCCGCCTGGAATCTTACGGTTAATATACTCCCTGTACTAATCATATATGTTACCATCCATATTGGAATAGATCATTCCGGACTTTTCATCTGCCCGCCTTGTATTGTAGAAGTGTATTGTATGACCTTGCTTGTCGCAATGATGGCAAATAGCGGTCCTCCAGTCAAAATGAGGTCTCCCGTACCCCTGATCTCCTTGATTCCCTTGATTCCCTTAGCCTTGGTAACCTTGGTTGTCCCATTGTCCACCTCGGCCACCACCATTCCTGCCACATCCTCTCCCGCCGCCTCTTCCTCCAATTCCCTGGTTGCCCTGGCTCTGATTCCCTCCTCCTGCCACGCTATCCTGTGAACTCGGTGCGGGCGATGGAGGTGGCGCCATGGGCTGGGCCTGCGTTGCAGGATAGCATGGCGGTGGCATACTTGCTTGGGGCCCTGCGTATGGTACCATCTGTCGAGACGGAGCTGGGCCTCCGCTTGGCACGAAGGTGTTAAACACAGGCCATGACTACTGCCCATACGGTAGTACTTGATGGAGCTGACGTACTCGGCGAGGCTACTACCAATGCTTGGGGCACCTATCCCTTTCCGGAGCCTTGCCCTCCCTACGTCAAATTGCGTTGTTTGCGCTACGCCTTTAGAAGGTGTTGGGGCACCGACTCTTCTTTTTCCCACTCCTCCTGGACGGCCTCCTCTGCGACCGGCTCCTTCCCCTTCCCTTGGATCGTTGCCACCACTTTCTTTTGTACCACAACGTCTTTCCCATAACCCAATTCTGCAAGTACATCTATAACGATCCTTTTCAGCCCCCTTGTCCCTCAGGAGGTCGCATCTCACTTCTTCCTCTTCCGCCTTTGCTAGCGCATTTGGTACTGTTCCATCTGGTCCAAACTCCCTTCCTCTATCCCTTTGTCGATTGTGGCCCAGGTGAGTTTCGCACTTCCTCCTCCATGACTCGGCAATTCCGAGGCTTCCGAGGCAGTGAACAGTCCTAGGAAGATAGCACAATTGTGCCTCTTCCGAGATTTTGGGGACCTTCCTTGCCTTTTTCTTAAATTCATCGTCTCTGATCATCGCCTCCAAATCTGCAGTCATCAACAAGCCATCACCCAGCCTGTACTTCCGTTGCATTCCATCCTTAAATCTCGCCCAGTTGTCGTTAGTTGCGTTTATCACCTTATATACCTCCTGGTGGTGCCCATGGAGTACGTACTTCAAAATACGTCGGAACTTCACCGCATCCGATAGCCCCACCAGTGTCTGTTCCACCAACTCCAACCACTCTGAAACTCGCTCCCCGTTAAAATAGAAGGTGTTGACCTTGGGAACATTGCTTTGCAACCTCTCTCGCCTGTCTAGGGCCTCAACCAAGTCATCAATTGTCAGGACCTTCCCGACACCATCAGCTATGCCTCCCGACATCTTGGCCGGATCTCTTACTCAACTTCCCTGTTAAGAAGAGGTAGAAACTTTCATTCAGCATCCTGACTAAACATGACACCTATCAGCTTTCCTACATAGTCACTTCGCGACTCAGATCTAACAGTGCTATCCGTCTCTTTCTTTTTAACCCATCTTAGCAGGGTCCACTTCCTCTATAGAATTTCCCTCATGGTTCTTTAAGTCAGGCAGTCCATCAAGAACTTATTACAGTAATAATATTCATCTATCATAGATAGTCAGACAAGGCATCACGTACTCTGTTTTTCCTTATATACCTATTTTCTCCTCAATCCCATACCCAGATCTCGTTCCACCAGGGACTACGATAGGCTTCCGTTATCCCCGACAACGACGCCACCTGTCGTGCGCATCGATCCAGCACTGCCCAAGCTGGGCGGGACTCCCCCCGGCCGCGTCATGCAGGAGTTGGTTTGATCCTCGTCGTAATGCACACGGAGCTTCTGCAAGCCGCTCCGACCAAGTGCGCCAACCATATCTCTCGCGAGCCCCTACGACAGCGTCGATAGGATAACCTCCACCTTACGGGAGTTGTCACCTCCCTTCGGTGGGCGTATCCCCGCCAAGCTACCAATTCACAGTACGAAAGTTAATCAGCTACAATTGCAAAGATGGACCCGCCGCGGACGTTTCTCATTCGCTGTAGCATAGGGGGTACACGTGATCTTACCCCTCTATCGGACCCGCACGCAAACCGATGTCTTGGGGGGGCTGAGGCCTAAGCGTGACCCGTCATCGGTCAACTAGGACGCATCCCACACACCACACACCACACGTTCACCAATCTAAAGACGTTAATCTTAAAACACGCACACACACACACGTATACAGAACGACACGGAACGAACAACGCGACACACTCCTAATCCCTTCAGTAGCCATCCCGTAACTCTTTGATATGGAAATCAGATAGGCGTCGCACGCGAGACTTAGTATAAAACCACGCGGACGCAGGGCCTCCTCACATCGACTAGCAATGCATGAATACGCAAGAAGTCGCAATGATGGCGTACTATGTAGTCCCCATAATCTAGTGGTCCCTTGTGGACCCGAGTACCGCTTATGACACTCAGGCGTCAGACTCGAAGTATCATGAAGGTCAACCCCTTCACGATATTGCACGACTGAAGGAACAGTCGTGCGGCCTCCGCGGCACCTCTGACCTTCAGGTTGAGTGTCCTGGTGGGCAGGGCAAATAGACTTTGCGCGGGGGGTGATACCTTCCATGCAGAGTCTAGGACCTGGGATGTCCTGGACAAGGACCTCGAATCCAAACCCAGGACCAACGTCCGACTAAGAAACCTTTTAAGAAGCAAAACAACACTAAACGAAGGAAGTCCCCCCCCCCCCCCCTCTTTCGATCTCGACCCCAATTAAGCCCTTAAGCGTGGGCTCCGTAGGCCACACAAACACCCAAACATAGATATGCGCGTATATATATAGTGGGGAATAAGTATGTGACGATCACTTCTCACAATCATTGTGAGACTTCTCACAACCATGTATATGTATGTGATCGCAGACAGTCAAATTCAAAGTCCGAACCACAAAACATATCTGCAATCACATCAAAGAGTCAACCAAAAGTCCACATAGTACACGGAGTCAACTTCAACCATTCTCTATGCTTATACGGAGTCGTACCCCTCGCATTAGCCATGCAAGCCCCAGTCTTTGTCCAACCTTCTATAATTAAATATTTAGTACTTTGTTAAATGGCCATTCACTAAAAGTCTGGGTGAAAAACTTAAATAAAACTATAAAAACCACCAGGGTTAAAGCCTTTAAGGTTGAGTTTTGAGGATGAATTGGAGTTGAGTCGTAGACCAACGAATTGGCAACCGACCTTTTATCAGTGATAATAAAGGATGATCCTTGTAGGATCAAACTGTATCTATTCCTGATTTTGAATCAAACGATCAAGAGGACCTGTAATAAATGAGAGTCCAATACCCAAGCTAAATTCATATGTGTATGGAGAATGAAGTTTCATAGCACATTCTCACTCAAGGTCCTCCTACAAGCTAAGCCTAGACCTACCTCTAAGCTAGTGCCCAACGCAAGGTACACCTATGGCAGCATCTTCCCCACTAAGGGTGGATTGCCAGAATCGTCATCTGTCAAAAAATAATTTATCCCCTTTAAACTAGGAAAACTTTGGCAGTGCTTCCCGTAGGAAAAATGTTTTTTCAGAATGTGTACTAGTTTGAATATAAAAACAGAAATAATATCTAATTATGGAAAGTCAAATTTTGTCTAACTCCCTCAATTAGTGAAAATTTAGGCAGCACTCCCATTCGAAAAGAACACTTTTAAGATTTTTACTAAGTCAGATATGAACCCAGAAACAAAACCTGAGTTCAACTAAAACAGAATTTAATTGACTCCTTAGTTTTGTAAAAATTTTGGCAACACTCCCTTCAGGAAAGTGCTATTCCAAGATTTATACACAGCTAAGTTCAAAAATCCAAAAATAATTTTTACTTCTCAAGGTCCAAATTTGTCTGACTCCTTGAATTAGTAAAAATTTTGGGCAGCACTCTCTTTAGAAAATTAGATTTTTTAGATTTTTACTAAGCCATACATAAAAGTTAGACAAGTTGAACTTTAAAAAGATAAAATTTCACTAACTCCTTGGTTTTGTAGAAATTTGGCAGCGCTTCCCGTAGAGAAAGTGACTTACCAAGATTAATACAAGACCAAGTATAATAAATGATCCGATAAAATGAAGAAATCGACCTAAATAAAATTAGCTAAGAAAATGCAGGAATTGAACTAACTCCTATCGCTCTAGCACGTTGCGAGAAGCTAACAAGTACCTATCAAACTGAAGCTCGGACTAAGTAAATAATCTCACTCAGTCACATGCAGGTCACACCACAAGGGTAAGTACTCTCACAATCCCCAAGTAAAAATCCTTATAGATAGTTCATGGAACTTTCAGAGGATTTAACCCTTATACCCAGCTTACATATGGCATGGAGCTAGATCATTTAGCTTAGAAACACTGTTTAGCATGCCTTTAGAATATACACGAACAGGTTGCACAACTACTTTTTTCTTTTTTGGGCATATAACTAGACCATTTAGCTTACAAACAACGCCTAGTCGCCCTGAACTGTTTAATAGCCAAAATTTAATAATTTTCTGACTTTGTTTTTAAAAGAAATGAAAATATGGGCAGGTGTCTGAGCCATTCCGCTTACAAACAATGCTCAGCTTGCCCAGATTACTTCCAATTATACTCGGTACTTTTATTTCTCTTCTAAATGATATGGCGTGGTGTTGGACTATTCAACTTGTCCAACTGTCAGTTCACATGCAAATATAAGTAAAGATACTTCCTATTATACTCTGTTTATACTTATGTAAGTCGTTTTCATGCTAAACCATTCAACTTAGAAACAATGCTTAGCCTTAGACAAAAAATCCTCCCTTAAAAATAACACAAAAGACTGAACCATTCAGCTTGGAAACAGTGTTCGTCTTATCCTCAAACCATTCAAAGCATGAATTTGGATTCTTTAGTCAAACTTCAGTCAGAAACCCCAAAAGAAACAGACAGACCAAGCCATTCACTTAGAAACATTGCTTGGTCCCAGAGATCAGCAAGACAATTAAACACAAAAACCAGGTCATTCAGCTTAGAAACAATGACTGGTCCTTCAGAAAAACAGTCAAATAAATATAGCCCTGGGTCATTCAGCTTAGAAACAATGTCCAGTCCTTGGTTGACCCTGTGAAACGCATGCAAACTGCCTTCATCCCACCTTCCCTCGGTTCATCCCTTAGTCTTCTTTCAGTCAAAAATAAAGAAGAAACTTAAGCTTTTCACACTCATTCCTTCCATTTAGTCATATTAAAACTCAAAAGAAAGCAAAATCATAGATGAACACATGCATACAATCAGTCAAACTAAAGGGAGATAGTCAAACAGGGGTATAGGGGTTCATACAGATAGAGAACAATATATCTGTCAGTTCCCTGCCTCCAGAACCTCGCCTAGGTTCCGGCAGAGCTACCGCAATCTGTGGGTGGACTCCCCACAGAGTCTTGCTGCGGTCCTACGGGTTGCAATTCCGCCTGCCGCCTTCCTCTCGTAACCAGGATTGGACTTAGAGTCAGAAGGGCAAAAGGAGATAGGTTTGAGACTCTCTGATCCAAGAAAGGTGCTCTCAAACTCACGTGAGAGGGCCTTGATTCCTTGATCCGTCTGAGGGCTCCACAATGGTGGCCAGAACGCAGTTGCGGCGTGGTCAACTAAACACAACTGCTAACTCTTGACTTCCCTGCCGACCTTCCAATCCGCAATAATATTCCCCTTCAACAAGGCCCCCCCCCCCCCCACACACAAAAGTTTGTGGTCTGAAAAGGCCTTAGCCACCGCTCGAGCCACGGGCCGTGGACCGACGATAAAGCCATCTCTCTCTCACGCCGCAGCAGAGTGGTAGCGTGATCTCACTGGCTTTGCAACATTAGAGTGTGCGCAGATATGGGCTATAGCCCTCACCAAGCTATAACAAGTACTCAGTTTGTGGTTGTACGCACACTACTCCGGCTGGTATGAAGGGCAGCGCACGAGTCAATCTGCAAATTCTACAACTTCATGGTTGGCCTTAGTTCACTGTCACTGGCTCAATGGGCAGCGCTCGGTCGGGAGGTAAGTCTTCAACCCGTGGCTGGCTCTCCTTGCCGCTTCCACTAATGCGATAGGTGGTCCATTGGTCAACAGATGGGCCTGCAATTTCCTCAGTTCGGGCAGCGCATCAATGAGCAGGTAACTCTTCAGTCTTACGGCTCACTCCCTCTCTCCCGCTGTCCTGTGTAGGAGAACGAGTTCCGCAGTCGCTAACCGGCAAACCTGTACTCTAGTGGCTCGCTCTCAGTAACTTCGCATGACAGGTGGGCAGTACACCGACCCACATGTAAGCTTTCAGCTCGTGACTGACGTCAAGCCCTTTCGATTCGACCGGTTATACGACGCATTGGCCAGTTGGTAAGGTTGTGACCTCGCAGCCTCCTTCCCTCGTTGCCCTGCTTA